GCTTCACTGGCAATGGCAGAAATTGTTGATCTGAGTTCCCTACAGCTCAACATAACAACATGGTTTTACTTCTTATGCTTTGTTTTTATACTTTTGTGCTGGATGGTTAAGACCAAAGTAAAGCAAGACCTATGCAACAAGAGTTGTAGCTTTTGGATCTGATAAGGTCAGTGAAATCCCCTCAGGATTTATCCTCAGATCCTATACCTCAGATTGTAGATCCTTTGTCAGTGTCAGCCATGTGGATGAGTCACGGCCATTGCTTGGCCAATGTAAGCACATATAATTTATATGTTAAAGAATTCATGCATTTAAATTGTATACTGTAATGTTTTTTATATATTCACTGAGTTGTAATTCCACCATCAGAAGTTTTAGAAAAAATAAAAATTTAGACCTTACGAAATAAATTGCATGTCTAATTTTTTAATAAAGCTAGATCGCAAGTACTGTGGTGGTACTGACTGATCACTTTTTAATGTGCTAAAACTGTTTCAATTGCAATTTTAAGTAAGAAAAATTAGAATACAAAGAAAATTGTGTGATATTCACAGCACTGTTTTAAGTGTTTAACATACTGACTATGTAAGTTTCATAGTCTGTGTTGGTGACTATGGAAATCCCTATAGTCATTACTCAGAAACCTGAAAGTTGAAATCCCATTCAACCCAGCACTTTCCCACTTCTGTCTCTTCTTGAAAACATTAAAGACACGTAATAATAATGATAAACACATATCCATGTTTTTAATAGCACAATTCATAACAGCTATAACATGGATGCAACCAATATGTCCATCAAGAAATGGATAAAGAAAATGTGGTGTTTGAATAAAATGCAGTTCTACATGAGTCATTTGTAGAAAAATGAATGTGCTTTGAAATCATAATGTTAAGCTAAATAAGTTATTCACACAAGCTCAAATGTCTCATGATTTCTTTCCTGTAAGAAACCTAAACTACAGGTACATTAAAGAATAACATAAAGATAATAATGGGAAAAGAGAGATAGATTTTCTTATACATAAAGAAGACTAAGAGATGGAGGTAATTAAAACAGGGGACAGGAAGAGGAATAATAGGAAATAATGTATGTCATGTACCAATTCGCTACAATAAATATAATCATGTAATACAAGCACAAACTAAAAACTTTTCTCTTGTTTTAGAGAAATAAACAAATAAACATTTTTTTTATTTTTAACTTTGGAAGCAATTTTAAAGACAAAAGTTTCAAAAAGGAACACAAAGAGAATACTGTGTCCTTTTTAGTCAAATTTACATATTGGTAATTTTATGCCTCATTTGCCGTGTGAAATACCTTCATACACATGCTTGGCTTTTTAACAGTTTAAGAATACTTAATATATTAGGTCCCTAGTGGACCCCTAAATACCTGTGTATTTTCTATAATTGGTATCACTTACTCAGTATACTTACCAACTTCAGTGAGTTTAGAATTACTAAATTCACTGAACTCTACTTTTTATTAAATATACTCTTCGTCTGCCAATTCCTCCACTTCATGATTTATGCTATCATCAGATAATGTATTTAGTTACCATTTGTCTTTAGCTAGCTTGCTTGCATTTGCTTTTCTTCTCTGTTCTTCTCCTTTCTTTTTTCCTAACTTTATTTAATCTGAAATATTTCCATGGCCTCCCTCTGTCTTTTAAGACAATATATTTTTTTTGCTCTTTTTTAATATAGCCTTGTTCATTTCAGGTTTGCCCTGTATCTCTTCATGGTTAGATCCAAATTGTATGTTACTGTGTGGGTGATATTGTCTACTTTCCCAACTTATCACCTCTGTAAATGCTTGATAGTCCTCTGTCCCGTGCAGTGACACTCATTTTGATTATCCTGCAAAATGTCTGATTTCGTCACTATTTACTTTTTCCCTCTCTCATAATTAGTAAGTAGCCTCTTGAGAAGCACGAAATATTTTTCTTCCTCCCTTCTGACTTATTCTCACTTTTGATTCTTGTCTGATCTAATTTTTATCTGGTCACCAGGATAAAATAATGATCCACTGCTTGAACTCTATTTTCCTTACAAGTCAGTCCTTGGCATTCTAATGCAAAGAGTTTTCTTCTCCATCCCACTTAGTGAACTACTCATTATTGGTATAAAATCTTTTTTTCAGAATCTAATCTTATTTCTTTTTTATTTTTAATTAATTTTATTGAGAAACAAACAGCAAAGAGACAGTTTCAACACCGATTAGTAGGAGAGTTTCAATAATACATTGCAGATTGTGGTCTTTGCAGTGGTTATTCATAGTACAAGATACAGACATAATATCTTGCCCAAACACTGTTAGTACAAACATTCCTTCTCAATGAATTAAGAGAAAGTAGCTTTATATCTATACTATTTTGTATACACAAATACAAAATAGTCCTTCATTTTTATCCCCTTCTTTTGCTTAGTTTTGTCAGAGATGGGTATTCCATTTCCATTAAAATATTGTAGGTGTGTGAATTCACCAAAATAATCCAATACAGTGCAATGGTCCATCATTGTAGTGGATTATCCGTAGGACAAGCAATGTCAGAAGTTGTTGACTTGAGCCTTTAACAGCTCAACATATAAATATGGCTTTATGTTTTATACCTCATTTTTATATTTTTCAGCTGGATGATAAAGACCAAGATAAAGCAAGAACTATATAACAGGAAATGTAACTTTTGGATATGATAAGTCAGTCAAATCCCATGAGGATTTACCCTGAAACCTTGTACTGCAGTTTGTGGATCCTTTGAGAGAGTCAGCTATGTGGATGAGTCACGATCATTGATTGACCAATTTGCTCTCTGTGAAAGCATGACAGAAAGTTTTCTCTCCATGTGACTCTCTTTAGGCATCCTCTACATCAACAACCACCTTCCTATTTGGTCCCATAATCTCTTTGATCAGAAAATTTGGGCCACAACAGAGTTACAGGATGTTATAGTACAGGTTCTCTTATGTCCTGAGTCTTCACAGACCTTGAATGGTTAGGCCAAAATCTTGGCTGTCCTTGCAGCCCTTCTTTTTCTCTAATTTTTGGTCTGTAAACTTAAGTTATTAATCCTCCAGAAGAGAAGCGTAATGGTATTATTACCCTATGACATAGACAGTTATGCTAAACCATGCTATCTGTCTGAATATCAAACATCTTAGACATAACATGGAACAGGTATTTTCCCTCAACTATTTATATATTAATGTTTGAATCCATACAGAATTTAAGAAGAAAAACAGAAAGAGATAAAAAATATTTTTTAAATTGTTGTAAATAATTGCATACATTTACACAGAAATTTAGAAATCTGACCATATACAGCATTTTAGCAGGAAAGTCCTGTGACATATTTTTGTCTCTTGTTTTCATTTATAAACTCTCTTTTTTAAAAACAAATATTTACTTCAGAGACAGTATAGCACTAATTGATATGACATGACAAGTACTGTGTGTTTAGAAGACCAGAATGACAAGTATTCAAAGCAGGCCCCTAGTATTACCCATCGCTATCCTCAGTGCAGGTGCTTAGTTCACAGGTATGAGCATATATACTTAGTCAGGGTGAGAATCCTACTAATTAACTACTAGTTTCAACAACTTTCCAAAGATTCTCAGAATCATTGCTTTAACCAGCTTGTGCATACAAATGTATGGCTTTGCCCCTGTCATGTTTCCTAGCTCTTCTCCTTGCCCTCTCTTTACTGTTTAATATTTAAGTTCCTGCTTTCCTTTTACATGTGTTATACCTTTCTATTTTTATTTCTTCTTTTGAGTTGTTACTCTAGGGAGACTACAGGAGTACATATCATGTACACAATCAGAAAAAAAAGATTTATTTTTAAATTCTTTACTATTGGGGTAGTTCAATTAAAAACATGTAGAGCTTTCATAAGTGCTTGTGGTTCTCTATTTAAAAGGAAGATTTCAACATTAGATTTTTATCTTCTCAAGTGGAATAGGCCTTATATAAAACAATGTGAATATAGACCCTGAAGGAGGAGCTTCAGCCACCAGAATCGAGATATTTAGAGACACAGCTGTCCATGAAGCAACATGGATTCATAGGATTTAGTCACTGGCTAAAGGGAGAACCACTATGGCAGCAGGGCATTTGTAAACAAGAAACACACTTCCAACAACCCAAGAAGGAGAGTACAGAACTGTCCTAAAGACAAGAATTCAGTACACAGATATATACCTCCATGACCTCCACCCCTAGTGCAGGTGGTTCTAGTGCGATTTATGCAGACTACCCAGAGCAGTGGTAGGAAACTATACCAACTCTTAGATTGAATTCCTGCACTCGACAGAATTTGTTAATTTGGACCAATAAATGCCACATGCATAAATTATGTTTAAAATGATGGAGAAGAGAGATAGATTCAATCATACTGAACATGCACAATAATATAAAACATATTTAGAACACCAAGGTAAGGAGGCTATAATGAAGCAAGAGACATCAGGTAGGTTTAGTACATGGTGGACATGCTCTATTACTGCTTACTACATTGCTTCACCATGTCCATGGTCAAATTGAGCTGCATGGATTATTTCTTCTGCACCAGATTTTCAGCTCTCACTCTAACAGGATGGCTCCTAGCATGAGAGCAGGGAATAATGCTCATCTGATGCACAATCTTACGGATGAAATTAAATCCATGGCACTGATAATTCTCTCACTGGGAACCCAGGTTTCTGATGCTGTACTGGCCAGTACCACATCCTCTAGTCCCCACCTTATACACTTGAGTTAGACTTGTGGGGAGGAACAGGTGATTTGCTCTGAATCATCAGGAGAAATCACTGATTCTCACACAGCCACATAGAAGATGTCATCAGGGGAGGTACTGGGAAATGGGCACTTTCTTAGAAAACTACCCATGATGTAGGCTTTAAAAAGACAGTAGAAAACATAGTCACTCAGCTGATTCCTCCCTGTTCCTGTGTTGAGGAATAAAAAGCAGAAAGGACGCAGATTCACAAACTCAGACATGAGAAGGCTGCTTGAGAAGATGCAGCTGCTCTTGCTTCTGTTGGCCTTCTCTCTACTGCACAAGACAAAGACAGGTAAGTTACCATCTCCAACCCTAAGATCCCCAAATCCAATCCAAAGAGGACATGGGTACCCTGCCACTCTACACAGCCCTAAATCTTGGATCTACCTGGATTGCTCTGAACCTAAACTCCAATCCCACAAGAGAACCCAAATTTTACACTCAATAGGGTAACAAGGCTGTTCTCAACAAGAGCTAGGGGGCACTATCCCTTCTCTAGTACCAACTTTTATCATCTTGGAAGTGGGTTTTGCTCAAAATGTATGCAAATGGTGAGAGGTTACAGGAGAAAATGTCAAATACCCCTACGAAGAGCATCATAGGCATATCTTCTGTGTCTGGGAGGTGAAAGGTGGAACCCTCATTAGTTGTTTGGCAGAGGTGTCCACAGATCAGTAAACCCATAATTAATGGAATCACTGTCTTCAAAACTCTAATTAAGGGTCTGGTGAGATGGCTCAGTGGTCTAAAACACCTACTTAGAACAAGCTTAGCAAAGCACAGGGACCACGGTTCAATCCCCCAGCCCCACATGCCAGCCAGTCGCGCCCCCTGGTGGGCTGAGCTGGCCACACACACACACACACACACACACACACACACACACACACAAATAAATTTAAAAAAAACTCTAATTAATGTTTAATTGTTTGATCAGTTTTACAGGCATATACCTGATCATCTCAGAATTAAACTTTATGATTATCACATGTATTGTAAAACCATTGTTAATGTCCTGTGTTGTTTTGAAATTCTGTATCATTTTTAATGTTTTATGTTGCTTTGTTTTTGTTTGTGTTCTTGTTGCTTGATTTTCTTTCTCTGCTATTTAAATTTTTTTTTTTTTTACAAAATAAAGAAAACTTAGGAGAGGAATCATGCATATTCTCTGGGATTTTACTGTCCCCAGATAGATAAGTTCATATCCAACTGCATGGAGAAATAAGATTTTGAGACCAAGACCTGATTTCCCACCCTATGCAGAAAAATATGAGACTCCTCTCTTCACTGTCTGCCCAACAGCATTAGATCCCACATGGAAAATGCCCAGTAGTTGTGGAGCCAAGTAGAAGCTCAAGCAGTGCCTCAGTGGCTGCAGAGAAACTGACATTTCTTCCAGGGGAGATCATCGGGGGACATGAAGCCAAACCCCATTCCCGTCCCTACATGGCCTTCGTGGAGTTTAGGTATACTGGTGTATACGAAATCTGTGGTGGCATCCTGATACATGAGAATTTTGTCCTAACAGCTGCTCACTGTTTCAACAGGTGAGGAATAAAAAACTGTGCAGAGTCTCAGGCAAATGCTTCTCAGAGTCCCTTCCTTTGAGGAAATCACTGTCCACCTGGAAGCACATAAACAGGAGCCTCATTTTCGGGAGAGAAAGGGCCATCAAACACCCAAGGGAAGACAACCTAGTTGACACCCAGGGAATTGCTGACGTAGTAAAGACAAGGAGAAATGAGCCCCATGTATTAAGACCTAGGAACAAGCCTTCACATAACAATGCAAAATAAAGGAGTTTTATATTCTTGTGGAGGTAACTGACCACTTAGTACTTCTGGCACCCTGGGTTCAAGTTTGTAGAATGTGTTACTAAGAAGAAGAAGACACAGTCACCCAGCTGGGTGGTCCTCCTCTCATGTGGATCATAAACATGTACTTCCTATAACCTATTACCTACAGCTCTGGGTATGAGTCCTCTCAGGCTCCACATTCCTTAACTCACTGTACTTTCCTGCAGAACTCTAGCATCAGAGTACAAAAGCACAATTGTCTATCTGGGTGTGCACAACATCACAAAAAAAGAAGAGACTCAGCAGCTCAGACTTGTGCAAAGACGTGTCCCACACCCAAAATTCAGGTTTAAGAAGTTGAGCAATGACATCATGCTGCTGCAGGTAAAGCACAGCTCTCAGCTTCTCTTTCTCTTCTCATACTGTGTTGCTCCTCCTTCTGGGACCCTTCACCTTCCCTCTTTGCCTTCATGTCCTCCAGTGTCCAATCCCAGAAGATACAGGTAGATCTGAGCTGTCTTACTTCTTTCCCATCAGCTGGAGGGAAAGGCCATTCTGACTAAAGAGGTGCAGATTCTAAAGTTGCCCAAGGAAATATCCCAGGTAATGCCAGGAACTGTGTGCCAGGTGGCTGGATGGGGAATGTTGGCCCAAAGTGGAAAACATGCAGACACACTGCACGAAGTGGAGATGACAGTACAAGATGATAAGGAGTGTAAAATCCGCTGGCCTGATTACAATAGTGCTATGCATATGTGTGCTGGGGACCCAAAGATTCAAAAAGCCTCCTTTAAGGTAAGACTGGACATTTATCACCCTTGGCTTTCAGGGAAAGGTATTTTTGTGAAAAACATAGACAAGGAAACCCAAACAGCAGGGTTTCCTCAGCTTCTAGGCTGTGTATTTCTTCCTGAAGAGAAAAAGGGAGCAGCCTGAGATGGGAGGTAACAGACTTCTACCATTTCATGAAGTGGACTCTGGTGAAAAGCGATTTTCTGGAATAATGAATTTGCAACACACTGATTGAGTTTATTCACACCCTAGTCATTAGAAACCATTCCTTAAGTAGGCAATAATTATAAGAAATTGGCTTCTTAGAACCAAGTTATCCTCTTGGTCAGTGGACTCTTCCTCCTTGTTCCAAGTCTGACCCACTCATCTGGTTCCATGTCTTTAAACTATAGCCTGAAGCCAATGGTCTCATAGAACTTTGCAGGATGAGGTCACAGGACATGGGGCAAGGACAAAAGCTGACCCAAGTGTAAGATAAATCAGCAATACTCTCCACAGTTAGAGCTTCATTGCTAAGGGAACAGAGCCTATCCTTGTGTCTCATCTCTCACCAGAGGACTAGAAGTAGTACTGTGAGACTGGTTTGAGATATCTGAAGGGACAAGTACATGAAGTGCACTGCCTCAAAGCTTCACTCTCTACTTACAGGGTGACTCTGGAGGCCCCTTCATGTGTAATAATGTGCTTCAGGCCATTGTCTGCACTGGAACAGAAGATGGGCAACCTCCACGTGCCTACACCAAACTCTCACCTTATCTAGACTGGATAGAGAGCACCATAAAACATCTCTTACTGCAGGGAGCAAATGAAGTCCCCTCTCTGAGCAACCATCTTTCCTGGATCTGAGATTGTAATAGCTCTAGAGCAGACACCAGCTACTAAATAAATGTCACATCACAGTAAGAAGATTCGTTTCTGGTTTGTTCATTTGGTTTCCTTCACAGAGACCAACTCCATGCAAAACAAGCGAGTGAAGCAATTGCGCTGATTTTGGGCCCCTAACATTATGCTCCTCTTAATACCTTCAAATATCCTCTCCAAGCTGACAACCAGTTACCTCTAACTTGCTTTAGTTTCTTACATCCTTCCCTTTTACAAAACTGAAAGCTAAACAACATCAGAACAAAATTTACATAGCATTTCTCCTGGGTCGCAGGGTGGACATGTGATTTTTTCATGAGTTACGTGGCTTAAGGAGGAAGGGATCATTTGTGCTGGAGACCTGTAATGCATATGTTAGGTTACCACTCTGCAATCATACTGAATAGAAGGGGCTCTTCCTTAGTACGACATTTCTCTCCCACAGTTTTAGCGATAAGAGGCTGTGGAGTATATCTTGAAGGACTCTTCATTCTCATCAGAAATTAGATTCCTTCCCATTTCTCCTCTAACTCCCTGACTAACATAGTTTACAACCACCACGCTGCCCATTCTGCTTGTCTCTTCTCCTAGTTGTTACAATCCATGAACTCCTATACTCATTAGGCCACAATAATTTAATGTTCCTATTTCAAATTCCTCACCTACAATATCCATGACCACATGTGACTACATGCAAAGTACACAGAAGGCAAGGCTGGTGATATCAGAACCCATTGCCTCAACTCTCATTTGGGTAGGGCCTCTCACTCCTGGGAACCCTTATATGCTCCAAGCCCTTTAGTCACTGGGCCACTTAACCAATTTTACCCTTTCCCTGATGATCACTACAGGCATAACAAGTAAGTCTCTGGGTACACATGGGATATACCAGTGTTTTACCTTACAAAGGGCTTCTTTCTGCAGAATTAGTGAAACCATACTTGTTTCCATGAATAAGCAAACTAGTCCTCCCTGAGTGTTTACTAACTGCTTGGTCTTAAGGATCAACATAGTAATAGAGCCCAGGGAAACTGGAAGTGGAAAAAAATTTCCAAATTTGGACTGTCCTCCAGATTGCTCCAAAAGGCCTGGACCTATACTGGAAATCTGTAGAAATAAAACACCTTAGTTTTCCTCTTGTGTGCAGGTTCTACCAATATTATCACATAACACTCCAGAAGTGCATGAAATATACAAATTACATCATTCTGGTGCATGTCAGACACACTTTTCTATTGCCATTGTAATTCTAATACACAGTCATGCCTTCCAGTGGGAGCTGTCTTTTCCTTCTTGTCATCTTGGAAATCACAATATCTAGGCCCAGAAGGGGTAGAACCAGTGCCATAAGCTAATCTGGACCCCTTTGCCTTTTCCCTGTCAGCTGGAATGAAAGTCAGGCAGAGTAAAGCTGTGCAGCCCCTTAGACTGAAGGAGGACATGACACAGGGGAAGCCAGGGGACACACGGACAGCTAGATGAAAATAACCCCATGAAGCCCTAGGGCAACTACACAAAAGGGGTTGAGAATACAGTGCCAAATAACTGAAATGCACTATAAAAACAGAATCAAGTGGATGAGGAACTCATTAGCGAGTATTAGTATCCTACTGTAAAGGCCAGGATTGGATGTATTATTCATGAGAGACAAAATTATAGGAATTACACAGCATATATTAATTTTGCCAGCTACAGTGTGCTTCTACTTCCCATCTATGAAAACACAAAAGGTCAAGTTCTTTGTTCTCTACCAGTTTTTATATAGTTTCTTTGTTGCTGTAATAATTGGGTAGAAATGTGTGTTCCCCTATATCCTATAGGCAGAGGGATTTATGGCTAAGCATGGGCAAATAATCTGGCCCTTACTGCATGTAATTTGTCTTGTCTCCTCATCTGCTTCTTTTTGCACATTTTTGACATGGCAAGTGAAGAAGTGATGAGTTGGGTAATTTACTTAAGGCTAAAAGGGAAGGTGATCCATCCCAGATGTCTTCTATGTAAATATTTTAAGCAGGGATCAAACTCAACTGAATTCTGCCTCAGACTCTCTTACTTCTAAGGTGATTGGTATTATGCTAGACACCATCTCTTACATTCCCCACTCTCAGACATATTTTTCTTTCTATGAAATGTAATGTCTCTCTGAAGATGGCAGCATATCCCTTATTTCATATTCAGGGTTGTCTAATTTCCATTGGATTTGCCTGCAAAAAAATGCTCCACGTTTGGGGCATTAACTAATTGAACAGACAGGGCACTGCAGTAAACAGGACTACTGGGAAAATTACTGGACTGATTATTCCCATTATGAGAAAGCTTAACGTGGGTCACCAGTTAAAGAGGAATCATACAACTTTGGCAGTCATAGTCATACCATCTTTTTCTCTCTTCAGCATCATGGTCTAGTTTTTCTAGGGTCTCCATGATGAATTCTGACTTGTTGGCATACAAACAGCACTCTCTCCCTATAGCTACATAGAGACCTTAATAATTCATGAACACCAAATTAAGCCCCCTTTATGTTATTTTATTAATTTTATTGAGAAACAAATAGCAATGAGACAGTTTCAAAACAGGTTAGCAGAACAGTTACAATGATTAATACGTCGCATATTGTTGTCTTCGTAGCAGTCATTCATAGTACAAGATGCAGAGATGCTATCCTGTCCAAACACTATTAGTACAAATCATTCTTCTCATTGAAATGAGAGAAAGTAGCTGTATATCTATACTAAGTATTTTGTATATATGGATGCAAAATGGTCCTTCATTTTTTTGATGTTAGTTATTGATTTATTATAATAAAAAGTGCAAAAACTTTCCTGCATTTGGGCTAAGGGTACTGGTCAGTGATAAAGTATTCACCATGCATAAAACCACAGGTTCAATACCTAACAGAAGAAAAAAAACATAACTGCTGTATCTGGAGTGCACTATCTTTCTCAAAATGAATTCAAACTAATTCACCAAAGGTGTTTTTCTTTTTAAATTACATAAAGGCTATAAATTGGGCATGGTATCACATGCCTATAATCCCAGCAGTCTAAGAGGTAGAGGCAAAAGGATGGCAATTCGAGCCCAGCCTGACAACCACACAGCAAGAACCTGCCTTCTCTCTCACACACAAACACACATACACACAAGGTGAAGGTGGAGCTCAGTGTAAAGGCTCTGGGTCCAACCCCCAAGACAGGACATGGAGAGCTGGGAGGAGGTATACTTAGGTACAGGAGAGCTCAAGTATTTTTGAAGTTGATATAGGAAAGCTACCTGGTATACAGCAAACCATATTCATTTAACACACAAAACATCCTTTACTTTTACTATGTATCCTTATTTCTTTGACAATCATTTAGGAAATAAAATAATACAAGGTATAGGGAGTGACTTGTGGTATGTTGTTTGTATAACATGTGCAAACTCTGGACTGGAACCCCAGTACTATAAGAAAAACATCTAGGTATGTGGACTAAAAGCTACCTTAAGCCCAATAAAGAAAAAGACTTCTGCTTTAAAAAAAAAAACATTTCTTTTAATCTTTTTGTCTTTTTGAGATGGGTATTACCATGCAGGTCAGCTAGCTTCAAACTCACAGAGATCCTCTTGCCTCAGCTTTCCTGAGTACTGAGATCATCAGCATGCACTACCACAACCAGCTTAATACTTTTGTCTTTATACAGTTATTAAAATTTATTTTAATGCTTAAAAGAAGCATATGCAACTGTAGAGGTTAATAGCACAGCAATATGACCCTATATTTAGCGTATTTCAGTGATATGTTCTTTTAAAATTCCATACCAAACAGATTTAACACAGCAAAAACAAAAGCTCTTTTCCTTTGAACATCAACTTTTAAAATACAAGAACTTTTTAAAAACTTCCTGAAAAATTTACAAACCTTACAAAAGGGATGCATATACAGTACTTCAGAAGACACTGGGTGTAGTCATTTCCAGGTTTAGGTGAATGTAATGAAGTAATCCCTATAAAACTTTATCTAGAAAATACACACAAGGTAGCTACCAGCTGCTACTTCTCATAACTTGGTATCTTTTCACTCTCTGGGTATTATAAAAATACTGTTTTCTAAAACCTTTAAATGGGAAGAACATCTCTAAGATCATAAAGAGAACCCTAAAAATAATAAATATAACAGAAAAGTGCAACAGAGCTACTAAAACCAAAACAGGAGCAGCATTCCACCCACAGTCTCAACTAAAATCTGGCTAACTGCCAACTCAACTTCATCTGAGCTTTTGACTTTTTAAAATGCCAATGCTGTCAAGCCTCTTTTGATAATCTAAAACACAGACCTAAATTAATTAATACATGACTTAGAAATTGATTTATTTGAATACAGGCACTAGACTGATTTGCAGTAAACTTGGGGATCAGAGATAAAATCAGCACATTTTCTTTCATTTTAAGTACTCACTACCTGACTGAGTGTGGTGGGGCATGCCTGTAATCCCACCTCTTGAGAGGTTGTAAATAGGTGGATCACTATGAGTCCAATCTAGTAGTAAGTCCCTGAACACCCTGTAAACCCTTCCCCAAAATACAAAAAAAGTACTCACTACTAAATAACACAACTAAAAACCATTTCTGAGTAGGAGAGGCACATGGATAAGGCTTATTTGGGGGTTACCATGAAAAAGCTGCTCCACTTATCTAATCTAACTAAGGGGAACTGCATTTTTTAAAAAGTCCACAATATTGTAATTTTGCATTAATTGAAATTTCTAAAACATAATATTTTGTGGGGTGGAACATACAGGACATATTTTCCTAAGAAAATGGTATACTAACTAATTTTTTGTTAAATCTCACACCCACATATGTAGCTTATTTCAGAAGAGTCAATGGGTAAGAAATGATTAGATTCAACTTCTACTTCAATAAAGGTCCAAATGTTGGGAATTAAATGATCTACTGCTCGCCAAAAATCCACAAAATATTCACACCAGACAGACCAAGATTAGCTCTCCCAAGCATTCCTGACTCTTTCGTCTTTATGATGTAGAGAAACATTAACAATGTATGAAACATATTATTTCTGCCCTTTGGAAGATTGTACACATGTCTCTGGTAGATGAGCTCATAGTGTGGGGGGTTGATGGCACTCTGATAAATGCAGAAAACATTCTCATTTGTAACATCTGGCTTACTTGGGGTCTGAACAAAATGCTGAGATGTAAATGTTTTTCCATCAGGATACTTAGGGTGTGGAGGTAACCTGGAATCGAGGTAGGTACCAAATACGTGCATGATGATTGCAGAATCAGTTGGCAGGTCAGTGTCCCATTTTCGTCCTTTGAAGTCTCCACCTCTGTTCCATCGAAATGAGCTCATGCAGCCACCCTGAGAAAGTTCTTTGATCCTTTCAAACAAGTACTCTTGATTTGGTGTGAGGTCTAGATACTGCACAATTGCATTCAAAGTTGGAATGAGAGGGGCTTTGACCAGGGCAGCCTGTTTCAAGCTGGTAATACTAGCTTCTCCTATCTG